GGGAAAGAGAAAAGCGCGCTCCTCGTCTCGCGTTCCGCCACCCTTTCGCCGACACCTTTCCATCCGACCTGTCTCGAACGTCTCGATCGTAAATCGTCTACGAGTCTTCTTCCCTCCTTCCTCCCTCCTCCGCCGCGATAATCTGCTCGATCTCCGAGCAACGTTCCTGGACTGTCTGTCAAAGTGTACGCGTCGAACAGCGCTTCCGAGTTACACGGACCTCTCGATCCACGAACTCGATACTCGCGTCGCATTTATTGCTCGTTTCCTTCCCCTTCCGATCGCTTCGGTGTCCTGCCGCGATCGATCGAGACGTTCGATATATCGCGTATGCACGCGTGTATACACGTGTACGTCTGCGAGGACGTTTACTCGTCGATCCCGACCAGCTGGTCTGACCGACGCACGGTTAATACGGGCTAATGCGCTTTCCCTTCCTCTCGGAGGCGGGAAATCGGGAAATCGCGTCTCTGTCTCTCTAACCCCCGACGCTTTGCACGAATCGCGCTCTCGATCGGCACGCTGGGATTCGCCGTTTTCGATGGCCGCGGGGGTGAGACGGACGACGATCGTGGCTAATAACGGTGGTCGTCGTCCTCTCTCGACGAGTCGGCGCGGAAAGCGGCGATTGCCGCGGAGCAGGCCGAGGCGGGCACGCGAGCATGACCTCGTATCTAGCATGCCACAAGACGAATGGTCTCGTATCGTCGGTGTAGCGTTAAAAAATTATAGCTGTGCCTGCGATGCATTATCTCGTTGTCGTTACGAGGCAGTCGCACCCTGCATGCCGTAGTTTCCGCGAGACTAATTCCCGTGTCACACCGTGAACGTATGCACGTACGCCCGACGGGCCATTGCTGTCTAATCCCTCCTGGCGTTTCGCGGAAATACGGGAAACGAACGAGCCTAGGCGATTGCTCGTTTGGAAAAAAAGAGCGACACCTCGCGTGGCTCGCCACACCTCGTGATCCCTTTATTACTCGTAGCAGGGAATTTCGCGATGACCGATCGAGCACGATCGCGTCGGCGATATTCAGGGCGACGCGAGGGTTGGCTGTGCACGGTGATCGCGGGCAAGTTTTTCGTCGGTAAACAAAACGAGCGGCGGGAGCGGAGGCCGGATTTCGGCACGATTACCGGCTCCACTGGCCGACAGAAACGCATTAACCGTGAATTCAATATTGACTCGGCAAACCTGCGTGTCCATCGTCGTGTAATTAATTAATCGATCGATCTATTCCGCGGGACAATACGATGATTGCCGCAATGACAATCGTATCCGCTTCCGCGCGTCGCGGCCTCTTCTTCTCACGGGATCACGGACTTGCTCCTGTCCGCGGTGGTTCTGCAGCGGCCGATCGGGCCCCGATATAAAATCATCCTAGGCATAATGAACGTCATTGTTTGCCCATCATCGGAGCGCCGCTCGCCATCGCGACCCTTCTAATAAACCGCGCTCCGTCCGATCGACTCGTTCGCTACCGGTAATCCGTTCTTTGTTCGCCGATTTATGCGACAGCGGAGTGCGTCTTGCAGCTGGGACAAGAGCCGAGAGGCAATCAGCGGGGCTATAAACGCGTGGGTCGAACGGTATCGACGTAGAGACGGCCAATTTGCGGCGCGGAATTAATTACGGGGCAGTTACGGGGCAGTTACGGGTGGCGGTGCTCGAGGCTGCATTCTTGCCGGGGCAATTTTTTGCCGCAAAACGGATTTGAAAGCGAGCCGGAGATGTCGAGCTGCGGAACGATGCGCCACGGCCATTTCCATTTCTAGGCGATTCGCCCGCTCGCCAGTCGCGCTGCCACCAGGCTAGCCTGTTTTCTTTTTTATGCGCGCATAAATCACGCGGGGAGCCGCGGGGTCTGCGAACCGCTTCTGCCTTGGCCTCTCGATTCACCCCGTGCCACTGCGGCTGACAACTAATTTCTCTTCCCGTCCGACTTTTTTCCTACCCGAGCGGCGGCATCCGCGATCGCTTTTCACGCGCCTCTTCCGCCGCTTTCCGCTCCACTCGCGCGTCTCGTCTCGTCTCGTCTCTTGGATTTTCCCCAAAGTCGCCCGGATGCCGAAGGGACCAA